TTTATGGCCAAGAAGCTGAGGAGGTGGTGACAGCTTTGGTCGAAAAAAGTGGTGGTAACGCTGCTGGTTGTCATCGTGGTGCTGATCGTCTGGCATCGATGGAGTCCGGAGAACGTCCGTGCTCAGGGACAAATGGCCCCGAACGTCGCGTCCGATCGCTCCGTTCGTAGCGATGCCAGGAGCCCCTAGTAGCGTAATGAGGCCTGGAGTCTTTTCAGCGGCTTTCCTACAAGTCCACATGAATGGACAAACATTGGATGTGAGGATAGAATTCATGGTGCTTTACTGCAAAATCAAAACCTGCAAAGCCGTCTGCTGGGGATATGCTCAATTGAACCTTTCCATCAAACTATTGAAACCAGCGGGTGCAAGACCTTGGAGGTGGTCGTGCCAGTGGTGGAAGTGGTGTTACCTTGGCAAGCTTGTGCCATGTCCGGACACAAGCATCAGTCTTGGCGAAGCAAGATCCCTTGAATTTTAGAGTCCAAACTGAGGTCTCAAACAGCCGTCATGTTCGCACTATGATACTAGAAGCCGAGCAACCTTCAAAATATATGGTTCCTTCCAGAAAGCCATTCCCCCCATCGTTTGTAAAACCAAATTGGCCCATGGCCTGATCTCGCTGCAGTCCAAGAAGCCTTCGGTGCCTTGAAAGTGCTTTTTCTGTCTCTTTGCCGTGTCTAACAGTCTAACACACGAAGACAAGACGAGCTTGCAATGTCTTTCAAGCGCCGAGCTGGTAATGGTGATGGTGGTCCTGGTCGTAGATGTGACCTCAACGAGCTTCTGTCGACAACTGAACAAGAAAGCCCAAGGAGGAGGGAACGAGTTGAAAAAATTTTGGACTTGGATTCAGAAAGCATTCCAAAATACGATAAGAAAAAGGTGGGCTGCCCCAACTCTTCGTTCCTCTAAAGGCATACAGCGGGCGGCTCGTATTTTCGCTCGTTCTCGGGCTCCTCACCGTGGTGGTGATGGGCATGAGCACAGGCCATACGGCCTGGCACCGGCCGTGGCCGGCCCCGGCATGACTGAATAGTAATTAGGTCCGTCATAGTCACTCAAATTTCGTGAGATTTCAATGCAACTTCGAAACCCCTAGTAGCAAGAAGCTACTAGGGGCTCCTGGCATCGCTACTAGGAGCAAGGATGCTACTAGGGGCTCCTGGCCTTACTACTGGGAGCAAGGATGCTACTAGTAGCAAGAAGCTACTAGATTGGAGGCCATCGCCAGTAGGTTGGAGGCCATCGCTAGTAATTTGGAGGCCTTCGCTAGAAGCTTTTGCCAGCTGGTCCTCTTGGTCTCTATCATCACATCCCCGCCCTCCGAGCTCTACACTGGGCTTGAGCTGTTGCTCCCAGCATCGCGGATGCTGTAGGAGTGGAATTCCCCGTCAGGAACCTCTGGAAAAAAGCGGAAACAGGCCTCCATGTGTTCATATTGTGTAGGAAAAATCAACTTGAACTCCTTCACCTTGCTCTGAGATGTTTGGATCAACATGAGCCCCATGACGAGTTTATTCTTGGATATTTGCAAACCCCACATGAGACTTGTGCTGCTGTACAGCCAAGTGAGCCAAGGTAACACAAATTTCATAGAAGGACATTCTGCAGCCGAACCACCACTACCCTGAACACGTCGAAGCACCCAGTTCAACCGTATATTCGCATGTGTCATCCTTCAAACAAGGACTTCCTAAGATGATAATGTGATCGAGGTGGGGCAAATTGCGGGGCTGATAGATTCTTCCCTACTATTCTATTTTCAGCAGCTGTGCATGCATTTCGCAGTATTGCACGGACGCAATATTGCATGAACACGAGATCTTGTTGACTGAGCCCCGAGCCAATCTCCAGCAGCCATTCGGGTCTGAGATGATGGAGCAAAGCTGGGAAACACCTTAGTCAAATGTTTCTGTTTATGCAACTATCGGCAGAACTCCAGCCACAAGCAAGTCACCAGCCAACATGTCTTTTGCCTGAATGCTTATTGGTAGGTACTCGCTTCTCAGCCATTTCGAGCACCCCTTCAGTCTTTTCATGCAGCTGTGTCACGCCCGCGAAAGCCATAGGAGAAGGCACTGCATCGTTGCCCGGCAAAGCGCATGATGCCTTGGAGCTGAGTTGCTCTCTCAGGCGTTGCTCTACATTCACCCGTGGGATCTGCATTACTGCCTCTCCCAGCAGAAGGTGAACACATCAACAAAGCATAGGGACTTAGGGGGAGCCAACTCACGTGCTGGCCAAAAGTGAAGGAAAGCAACCAACGAATTATATTCACAAAACCATCCTCCAAAGGTGGTCATAACCTGTCAAAGCCGGAGGTTTTGCTGATACTCAACTGATTCGGGAAGTCCATGGATGTTTTCAAAAATCCGGGGTCAGAGGCACACAGGGGTGGCACATCGAAGTATTAACTTAACAGCAATGGCCTCCACCCTACTAGCGATGGCCTCCAACTGATTCGGGAAGTCTCTAAATATCCGGGGGGGGGCACATCGAAGCATTAATCCCCAGAGATGTTTCTGATAGGAATCTCTGTGAGGAAGACGGAAGGTCTGAGCATCCCTGGCACTGCTGTGCGCACTCATCAAGGGTCAATCCTTCCAGAAGCTCCTGGCAAATCCATGAACAAGCGCATGAAGTGCTCAAAAGATCTAAAAAAGCTCCATGGAACCACATGAAGTAGCGTCCTTGTTCCTAGCAATAAGGCCAGAGAAGCTACTACTAACTAGCGTCCTTGTTCCCTGGAACCACATGTAACCATGCCTGTTTCCGGTATCTTTCCTTTTTCTCCGCAGGAAACTGCGCAAGCTGATCACATCCTTTCCATGCCGAATTCAACAATGACTTGCGTGATTGATTCAACGTTGGCAGGTTCGCACAGATCCCCAGGTCCTGTTGACTATCATGGCCATGGCATCTGGTATGGGATGCAAGTAGAGCCGGAACCAGCTCACCCACCTGAGGCTGGAACCATCTGTGGCCACTTTTCGCAGACTGTAGCATGTTGCAGCCGCATAGCTCAGGCTGACTCAACCATAGTCGCATCGTTTCTTGGAGTTCTTTTTGAGCGTTAAACCGTTAAACGCTTTCTGCAGTGCTTTGGTACCTGGAAGGCTTTACTGAGAAAGCAACCACAACGTGCACAGGCACACTCACCACCATGGTGCCATCACCTCAGCGCCGCAGTTTACAAGGAACGAGGAACGGTGGTGAAGCAGTTTTCTCAAAAATTGCCGACCCCAGTAGGCAATGGCCTCCAAGCTAATAGCGATGGCCTCCAAACCCTTGGATTTTAAGGATCCTACTACCTACCGTTCCGGGGACCAAGGAACCACCCGGACGGCTACGCTCGCTACGCTCTGCACTGAGATGAACACTGTGAACAAAGCTCTTCGTGGAGGTGTTCCAAAGCTCTTGGAAACGCCAATCGCTGATGTGCGGCCTCAGTCGAACCCAGTGACTGCCTCCCGCTTTGCCAGTGTTTCCTGATGACTTCTCCGTAAAAACATCCAACCACCTGGGACGCTTTCACATTGCTGGACCATCACTTGCTTCGCCCTATTAAGTCTTTTGTAGTTTCTCCAAGGGCCAAACGATAAACATTTCAGGTGCCTGGGAGAGTTTTCAATCACCTGCGGAGCTCCGGCCACTCATCTTCAATGCAACATCTTCCAATCTGGATGATTTCACGGAACAGTTTTTGCGCAAGCGGAGTGCACATGTTGTGAACTGCATGGATGCATTCGACAGCCATATCGTATCAAGATGTTCATGCTCCAATCCTTGCCTCGCAGGGGCCGATATCTTCAAAGGCCACATGGACCTGGTATCAAAACTTGATGAGAGGCGAGCTAGTAGAAACAAGTGCATCGCTACTAGTAACAAGTGCATCGCTACTAGTAACAAGTGCCTTACTACTAGTAACAAGAAGCTATTAGAAACAATGCATGATAGGATCTCGAACATCTCTGACATCCCAAGTTCGTGCGACGTGATATCTTCAGCTTCAAACCCAACTGGAACCGAATTCTGGTGTGAGACAGAATGGAGGTAAGACAAAGAAGGTTCTCTAAGACCTGCACTTTTTTGGGATCTTCATCAAAACCGACGCCAGTGATTGTCACCACCTGACAGAGATATGTGATGCTTCCTTATGCTTCCTTATCAGTGTCCTTCGGTCCAGGCAACACTCACATCTCAACAAAAGAAACGATTGCTTCGACCTAGGGGTAGATTGGATGTCAAAAGGTCTTTTCATTGGCGAGTTCACTCTAATACTTGGGGACTGGAACCTCCTCGAACTCTATGTTTGGCTGCGAGTTCCTCTTCACAAATTCACAACGTCCTTGTGAACTCTGTTTAACCCGTCCGACTTCGACTCCGTCGACATGCATTGCATGCATCTGCACTTCGTGTTCGCGCTCCTCCTACGTCACTCTCTATCCCTGGTGGCCTCAAACAAAAGGTTTCTCTTGCAATCTTCTTTCACTTTATTTCAAACATGCGTGTCTCAGGGGGTGCCACTACAGCGAGCATTCAGAAATCCATCCATGCACTTCTGCAATCAGGGGGACTGAGGTGCTTGCTCTGTGGTGTCGCAGAGTGAGAAGTACACTCCATGGGATTTGGCTCCCAACCAAGGGATCCACACCTTGACACATGCGCAACACACAGGGCCCGCCTTGCCGCCAGCCGACACTCCTCCATAAGGCTCCATACTGGCTGTTCGAAGCTCTTGCCTCATTTTTGAAGCATCTTTCAAAAAGAGATTGCCACATATTCGGCGTGGTGCGTTTGACCCTTTGTTTATCAGATCGTTACTTTGTGAAACGCGCAATCAAGCTGATACAAGAGCTGTGGCCAACAAAGTACAGCCTTGTTGAAGCACCCCTCGCTGCTATTTGGGCAAACAACTATATTGACTCAAACAGAAAATGCAACTACTATTCCTCTGGCATGTGGCTAAGTGTCAGCTGTGGTCATGCTTCTCTTGACATCGGTGACAGCTAAGAACCAGGCGTGATGTGGAAGTCTGCTTTACTTCTGCAGAAACGAGGCAGCATATGGTCGTACGTGGTTATCTTCATTTAGATTCTGATCATTGCTCTATTTTAGCACCTCATCTTCTCTGTCTGGTCAAGGACCACCCTGTATGACTGCTAGAAAACTAGCCATTGTAGTTTTTTTGTCGGTTTTATTGATACAACGACTCCATGCATGTAAACACTGCCCACCATTTGTGGACATCAAACAAATCATCTTCTCTTTGTACAATCATCTATTGCGACTTTGTTTCACCATTCTGACAAACGTCGCAGCAAAGCCCCTCGCCTGCTGGCGCGGTCTGCAAAGCCCAAGGTCGTTGGCTTCACAGACACACTGTGGAGCCCCGCGCTCAGCGGGCATGGAATCAGCCGGAATAATGTTACGTCCAGGATGTCGCAGAACCTACACAGTTACACAAAAGTCTATCGCAATTGGGGTGTAGGTCGGAGGCCATCGCTACTAGGGTAGAGGCCATCCCTAGTAGACTTTCCTTTCCTTCTTTTCTTTCCTTTCTTTCTCCCAAAAGAACATGCAACTCTGGAGGCATGGTGGAGACTTCACAAGCAATTCAAGGATCACACGGGAGACACCTGAACTTCAAAGCTTGCCAGTGACTTGCCAGTATTCAGAAAGTCAGCTCAAATTCTCATATCCATGATGAACAACATAGCATCTGATAGCATCTCTGATACAGTAGCAAACAAGGGCACGGCATTACCACTAGTAACTAGAAGCTACGAACGGGGCTCCTGGCATTGCTACTAGGAGCAAGGATGCTACTAGGGGCTCCTACCCCCCCCGCGCGCGCGCGAAAAGGTCCTATAGTAACCTTCTTTACTAGTAATTTTAAGTTTTAATAGCAAACATTGTTACTACTAGTAAGGCACTTGTTACTAGTAGCGTGGCACTTGTTCCTAGATGCTTCCTTCCTTTCGTCCGACTTTGCCCGACGCCTTTGCTTGGGCTCGCCAATCGTCCGATTCACCTGAGCAAGTCGACTTAGTCGAGCTTTTCGACTTCGAAGAATCCTGGGAACCCAGGCCATGCATTGCTTGAAACATCGGGCTGCCAGCTGAATCGTGAGGTTGGTGCCTCAGCTCAAATGGACGTTGGCAAAAAAATAACAAGAAACAGAGTGGTGGGTAGTAGCAAGCAAGGGGCATCTAAAAGCCAAGACCTAAACAAACAAAGAAGCAAGAACAATTCACAGAAAGGAAACAAGATCTCAAAAAAGGAATTGGAAGTTATAGAGTTATTGAATTTAGAATTCGAAGACACATCGCTTCCGTTATTTATTCCGTCCTTTTATATAATCTTCGTGTTTTCTTTAAAGTATTCCGTTTGTCGGTTTTCCGTGGGTCGTCAAGACCTCGTTTCCACCAGTCCGGGCCAAAAGGAAAAGAACCGGTGATAGGGATACTTCAACAACATCCAAGAGTGATGGCCTCTAACCTATTACTTTCTTTGCTCCTAGTAGCGATGCCCTATGTTCCTAGTAGTTTATTGTTCCTAGTAGTAAGGCCAGGAGCTACTAGTAGCGTCCTTGTTCCTACTAGCGATGGCCTCCACCTAAGTGCGACGCTGTTTGATTTCACCACCACAGAAATCCAGGTCGTTCGGTCATCTGGACAAGCGACTCAGATTCCCTGAAGCATTATATGCAGCAGCCAGGGCATCCTTGCACAAACTGATGGAATTCTCGAGATGCAAATGAACAAGCGTGAAAGTTGTGTCAGAAACTCCAATTTTAAGGGTCAAATATGTGTCTTAAACAGACCGAGTTTCTTTTTGAGCGAGATTTCGTTTGACCAATTTAAGCTACTAGGGGCTCCTGGCCTTACTACTAGGAACAAGAAAAGAAGCTACTAGGAACAAAGGGCATCGCTACTAGGAGCAAGGACGCTACTAGATCCACCAACCCATCATCGTCACGTCGTGACGTGTCGCTTTCGCACCTGGCAGGCGGCGACACAAAGCTCGAAGGAGCTCAAGTTCACAGCATCCGACATATCTCAGTGGATGCGTTGTGAGACGTGTTGCACGGTGATAAAGATTGAAGAGTATGGGATGGGTAAGAGGAATAAACATGAAAAAACAAGGAAGACAGCAGTCAGTAAAACATAGGAACAATGTTCGCTCCTAGGAACAAAGGGCATCGCTACGAACGGAGCAAGGACGCTGCTAGGGGCGCTCCTGGCCTTACGAGTAGCGTCCTACGCTACTAGTTGTACAGTGTGATCTGACAAAAAACGATTTATTTGAATACTAGGTTTTGACAAAATAGCTTCTGGTTCCTAATAGCAAACATTGTTGATACTTCGTCGCCTTCGATGCATGGACACTCACATGTTCACAACTAGAGGGTCGGTCTCGACCTTCACCTTCGACCTTTGGCTGTCTGAGCTGTCTGCTGAGGTCAGTGGATGTAGAGCTACTGGTTGTGCTGGTGCTTGTGGTGCTACTGGAGCTTGAGCTGCTGCTTGTGCTCGAGGTGCTGGAGGTGGAAGTCGAACCTCAAACGCAAGACAACACACGAAGCATGGGGTTTCTCTTCACCAACGAAGTTGTACCCTCAGGGATGTAAGAGAGACAAGACTCTGCAGACTCCAAGACAGTGGAAGGGTGCCTCAATGCCCAGTGAAATGATTCCAGTGAAACGATTCCCAATGCATCTAGCTGAGAAATGTTCATCTAAATCACGATTGGAAATCTGTCTCAAAGCCTCAAAGGCTTGATGTGCGAGGTAGGGCAACAAAGGCAAACACCAATTTGGAGCTCACCAGGGTTTTCAGCGACAAAGTTCTCTAACACAACTTCCGAATGGGTTAGTTTAAATTTAAGCTAGAAATTCGACGCAGCTGAACATATTTCCCACACTTTTGGCACCCTTTTAGGTCCTTTACAAATTCCTTTTCCTTCCATCCCAGGAAATCGCTACTAGGTTGGAGCCCATCCCTACTGGGTTGGAGGCCATCGCTATTAGTAACTAGGTTTCCTTTTATTTTTACATTTTTCCTTTCTGTCCTTTCGCCTGCCTTCCAGCACAGACTTGTGCTTGTTGGGTCTGCAATGTCAAACACAGCTTCGCGATCTTCGCGGTTAGGATGCTTTTCTGGTCTTTGGCTGTGCGCATACTTGTTATGTTTTTGGCTTAACATTCGTCAGGAGACCGTTCTGTATTCAGAACTAGTGTAATTAATTTGGCAAGATCGCCTTTGCACCAAGAACTACCTCGATGTGGAACTGAATTCCCCCTTGCTGTCGACAAGAACTGTTTCTGCTTCCTTCCAGGTGCAAACCAGGGGCTTGTGCTCGTGCTGCTAGAGGTGATGCTGCTGCTCCTTGAAGCAGAAACAACTTGAATGACCGAAATGCAAAGAAGAATCCTTGCTCCTAGTAGCGATGCCAGGAGCCCCTAGCTTCTTGTTCTTAGTAGTATGGCCAGGAGCCTCTTGTTCCTGGTAGTATGGCCAGGAGCCCCTAGTAGCGTCCTTGCTCCTAGTAGCGATGCCAGGAGCCCATAGCTTCTTGCTCCTAGTAGTATGGCCAGGAGCCTCTTGTTCCTAGTACCGATGCCAAGAGCCCCTAGTAGCGTCCTTGCTCCTAGTAGCGATGCCAGCAGCCCCTAGTAGCGTCCTTGCCTAGTAGCGTCCTTGCTCCTAGAAAGGACTGCCATGGTGATCTCTGTGCATTCTGTTCGCTCTGAGGGCCACGCGTCGAGGTGCTGGTGACCTAGGCATCCAAAGCTCAAGAACTGGTGACTAACACGCGAAAAGCACGCGTAGCACCAGCGAAAAGAACTGAACCATCATATGTAGCACCGCGTCATGCGTCCAAATGGGAGCAGTTTTCTCGAAATGGGACTCTCGGGAAGCCGCTCATACATTGGAGTGGTCCTGGTGGTCCTCGGGAAAACTTGGAAACGAAGCTGCTCAGCTCCTCCGAACCACTGTGCTGCGCTGTCGCTTGGTAAACAGCGTACGCTGTGCTACGCTCATCTGATCGGGAGCCCAGTTGTCATGTCAATGTTCATGGCCTGGCAGGTCTTAACATCTTTTAAGCAGGAACTCTCCTATAGAAGCTTTAGGGTCTTGTACAACAACCACATTTTTAGAAAGCATGTTTAAAACTAGAAGCGATACACTTGTTACTAGTAGCTTCTTGTTACTACTAGTAAGGCACTTGTTACTAGTAGCGATGCACTTGTTACTAGTTCTCACTGCTAAGATTCAGCAACAGGATTTTGGTTCTTTCGATTGCTGCGTCAACATCGAAATCCGATGTTTTCTCCGAAATCCACCCGAATCTTCGCGCCGCTCTACGCTTTCGAAAAAGCAAACATGGACATCACTACCGCTTGTTGATGCAAGACCAACAAGAACTTCCTTTTTTGCCTTCTCTTTTTCCAAAAAGAATCGTCGTTTTGAGCTGTTTAGAATCTGTTCGTCTAAATTCCCCCCTTTATCTTTCTTCCCAGTTCTTCCTGACTTCTTCTCAGGCAAGATTTTCTTCCATAAAAGCGTTGGAAACACTGTGATCTTCCTGGCCTCGCCACGAGTGAACTTGGCGATGTTGTCCCCGCAGCCATCCACCACTCGCTGGCGGGCCTCCACACGCTGCCAACCAATGTGGGGCGTCAGAATCACATTCTCAAACTCGTTGAAGACATCCTTAGATCTTCGTTCTTCTTGGATTTGTCTTGTTTCAAGATTTGGACTAAAATGAGGTTCACTGGTGTGACATCATCGATTGGACCAACGCAAACAGCATTATAAGAGTTCAAACCATGCAACATTGTCAGCATTCTCCTGCGTTCAAAACACAGCTGCTGTTGGGGATTTCGTGAGACGAACACACAGTCGGGGCCAATATCCAGGACAGCCGTCATCGCTTCATTACAAGCCCTTACCGTTCTCGCCATGCTGTCCGACCGAGCATCGTACAATGGGCTGTTGTCTGGCAAGGGCGGTGGAGGTGCTGATCCTTCACCGAAGACGTCCAGCGCAGCACCAGCGATCTTCTTCTTTCGGAGGGCGTCGATCAGAGCATCCTGGCGAACGGCTTACATCAAACGGCTTGCATGGGTGGCTAAATGGATTGCTAACATTGGATGCATGTGGTGTCCGAAGATGTTCATCGAATATGTAGTAACAGGTGCATTGCCAGTAGTATCAAGTGCCTTACTAGTAGTAACAAGAAGCTACTAGTAACAAGTGCATCGCTTCTAGTAACAAGTGCCTTACTAGGATCTGTTTAAGCATGAAATGTATCGACTGTGAATCCAGGTTTTGGTCGGGATGTTTTCCCACCTCTTGTGCACGGGCTTGGTGCAGGAGTCTCAGTCCTGGTCAACAATAGGGCCGCGCGCCGTGTTGATGACGTAAGCTGTCGGCTTCATCTTGTCGAAGCAAGCTGTGTTGAGAAGACCCTTGGTGTGCTTGTTCAAAGGCACCATAGGGCCTCAAAAGGTTTTCTTGGCCCCTACAAAGCAACACGTACACATGTGTGCATGCCTCCAATGACTCCTTTCCATGCATCAAACTTCTAGAAACCCACCAGGAAAAAATAGTATAGAATTGATTGAATATGCAACACGAAACACATCGAAATCAGAAAATAACACACAAAAATGTCAAAGCCCTAAAGGGGTTTTGAAAGGTCTTTACAGTGTCTTTTTCACCTCAGTGGCTGATGAAGTCCGATTGTTTCAAAAGGTCGTCCATGGTCACCACTTCCACACCACTCTCACGCATGCCCAACGGAGTCGAGGGCATGTCTGAAACGATGACCCTCATGCCGAGGTTCAGCGCCTCTGGGCAAAAAATCGCAAAAAAAACGGCGGGAAGCCGCTGGAGGAGTCTTTGGACATGGCTGGTGAAAATCGGTTAGTTTAACACCTTCCCAAGTAGGAAGAAGCCAGCTTTGGTACTTCACACTCCTACGCAAGCCTTTCTAAACCTAAGGTATCTGAAAGTCTTAAACTGCTCTTTTAGATGTCTAGATCCCAACTCTTTGGGTAGGATTCTTGGGAGATCCCACATGAGCCGACATGACCTAGCACTGGTTTAATGAAATCGAACAGTAAGTTCCAAACGTTCTGCTGCTTGCGTGGCTCCAACTTTTCTCATCTCCTCTCTATAATTTGGCTTGAAGACTCATCTATAGCACAAAGGCTCAAACATTGCGCAAACACATCGGCTTTTTCATTGAGTATGTTCTACTAGGTTGGGGGGGCATCGCTATTAGGTTGGAGGCATAAAATAGGCGACTCCTCTATGTTCTACCCGCCTTCTTGGAGATGTTGGATGCGATGTAGCCTAAGCCGCCAATGATGCCGTAGGTCTTGCCCCGGATCTCAAAGTGGTCCAGGTGGCCCAAGTGGCATTGGTGCATGTATTTCCTTGGTTTCTTGATGGTTCTTGGCATCTTCATGGGAGGGAAAACACACAAGTGTTGTCAAGAAAGAACCTTCGGGGAAAGCAATGGAAGGTGTCGCTCTTATTTTGAATTCGCTTTACACATCCTTTAATTTAAACAAGAAGCTATTAGTAACAAGTGCATTACTACTAGTAACAAGAAGCTACTAGGAGCAAAGGGCATCGCTACTTGGAGCAAGGGCGCTACTAGGGGCTCCTGGCATCGCTACTAGGAGCATTCTTAACTTAATTCTAATTTATACTTCTTACTAATTCTAATTTAATTCTAGCTTCTTGTTTCTACTAGTAAGGCACTTGTTACTAGTAGCGAGGCACTTGTTCCTACCGAGTCCCGAGTCTCCGATCACCTTTGGCCAAGGCCTTCATCTGTGGAGCCAAACTGCATGAGAGCGCCATGACCAGTGTGATGGCATAGTCGCCCATGGCCTCCATGGTGTTGGTAGCTCTTAGTAGCCTCTTTTGCTACCAATTTTAATATTCTATGTATATTCTATGTATATTCTATTGAATTTGAAATATTTTAATAGAATTATACTTAATTGAACTTAATTCTATATATTTCTTGTTTCTAGTAGCTTCTTGTTTGTAGTAGCGATGCCCTTTGCTCCTAGTAGCGTCCTTGTTACTCGTCGCCCATGGGCCTCCGTGGTGTACTCGGGCACATTACAAATGGCGATGCCCTTCTCACGACAAGCGTCCAGGTCGATGTTGTTGTATCCCGTGCCAGCCTAGTTGGAGACATCTCTGAGTTGATCCATGTTGATCCCATATTCCTTGTGTTACAATCTTCTCTTTTCCACTGTTCATCATCTTATATTCTTGTCAAAACAACTTCGAAGAACTACATTGGTACCATTTCAGCTTCAAACCTGTGCAAGTCATTTCTGATTCCCAAACAACAATGTTTGGCTAGCTACTAGGGTGGAGGCCATCGCTAGTATTTTCTCAAGGCATTGCCCGCCTCAGCGATGAGCTTGACAGAAGGTGGCAAAGCTCGAATGATGTCACCTTGGACGTGATCACATTGCTCGCAAAAGGGAGCCCAAAGAGCAAAACATTAGCATTAAAAGTAAGAACACAGCATTGTGTCTCACTGAACTATTTGCGATGGTGACCCTAGTAGCGATGGCCTCCAACCTCTTCACTGAATTCTGGTCTCCTGCTTGGAATGTTACATGCCCTTGGCTCCTAGTAGCGAACATTGCTCCTAGTAGCGAGGCCAGGAGCCCCTAGTAGCGTCCGTGCTCCTAGTAGCATCCTTGCTCCTAGTAGGGATGCCCTTTGCTCCTAGTAGCGTCCTTGTTACTACTAGTAAGGCACTTGTTACTAGAAGCGATGCACTTGTTCCTAGTAGCCTGGAATGGGGAATTCCTTGTTCATCACGATGTCCATGCCCTGCGCCCGTGGCACAATCTCCTCTGTGGCCGAGATGTCATAGCTGGTGAACTCGGTGACGTTGGTCACTTTGCCCCAGTCCTCAGTGCTCGCTACTAGGATCAAGGTTCGCTAGTAGTAGGTCTTTGAAGCTTTCTAGAAACTAGAAGCTACTAGGTGCAGGCCATTACAACTAGGGGCAAGGACATTAGGTTGGAGGCTATCGCTACTAGGGCACCCTTTCGGTGTCCCAGCGACGTTTGGGGACGTCGGGGAGATCAATGGGCGTTGGCGAACTGAAGGATATTAATGCGAGGAGCTTAACTAGGAGCGTCCTTGCTCCTAGCAGCGATGCCAGGAGCCCCTAGTAGCGTCCTTGCTCCTAGTAGCGATGCCAGGAGCCCCTAGTAGCGTCCTGACTCCTAGTAGTAAGGTCAGGAGCCCCTAGTAGCGTCCTTGCTCCTAGCAGCGATGCCAGGAGCCCCTAGTAGCGTCCTTGCTCCTAGTAGCGATGCCAGGAGCCCCTAGTAGCGTCCTTGCTCCTAGTAGTAAGGCCAGGAGCCCCTAGTAGCGTCCTTGCTCCTAGTAGTAAGGCCAGGAGCCCCTAGTAGCTTCTTGCTCCTAGTAGTAAGGCCAGGAGCCCCTAGTGGCTTCTTGCTCCTAGTAGTAAGGCCAGGAGCCCCTAGTAGCGTCCTTGCTCCTAGTAGTAAGGCCAGGAGCCCCTAGTAGCGTCCTTGCTCCTAGTAGCGATGCCAGGAGCCCTTAGTAGCGTCCTTGCTCCTAGTAGTAAGGCCAGGAGCCCTAGTAGCTTCTTGTTCCTAGCTAAACCAAGAATCCATGCGACCATCAAAGTCCAAGCGCGCTGCGTTCAGCATCACGCACTTGGGTTTTGTGGCGAAGGCCCGGTGAACGCCGGTCCGACATGCCAGCGACCGTGGCGTGGAACGCAGCGCGAGCCGGGAGAACATGGCACCAACCACGACGCCTGTGGAGGCCTTGAGAAAATACTTGCGATGGCCTCCAACCTAAGAGCGATGGCCTCCACCCCTAACAGGACTTGCAAGGCCAATGTTATTCACTTAGTGCTTCGAGGCGTTCTACCAAAAGCATGGTGGCAGGCAATCCTCACTTGAAAAATCAGTGGAATTTGAATCAAATGTTCACAGCTCAGAAAAGATACGACCAAGGGAGGGCCTTAGGAGTTTATCTGCTTCTCTTCTGCTTCTCTTCCCAGACTGTCGTTTTGGGAGAGAAGGACCTGGAGGTGCGAGGATGGATCGCTCGCGAGTTGGTTTGGGAGAGACGACTGACTTTGATTCACTGCACCCTTGGCGTCTGGACCGTCTGTGTTGAAGTGCTACTGACACTCGTAGTGGTACTGCTGGTAGTGGTCGAACTGGTTGAGGTCCTGGCAACACAAATGGAATCATAGACCGAGAGGTGTAGATTTGGAAAATGATTAAACGATCAAATGGAACAAGGAGCCTAGCGATGCCTAGTGAGAATTAGTTGCTCTTGGCCGAAGGAATGCCGAAGGTTTTCCTCATTGACCACTATCGCAAAGCACCCTACGCTGCACTCATAGCAGCGAAACCTTGTTGGAACATTGTCGCTTGCACTGATAACTTTGCAACAACAAATTCACATTCGCATTTGGTTGTGGAAGAATGTGAAGCACATCTGTGTTTGGGTAAACTGCCTAAAAGCCAAACCAAAATTATTCATCCAAAGTCAGTGTGTAATGCTGTTACAAGTAGTAACAAGTGCATCGCTACTAGTAACAAGTGCCTTACAAGTAGTCTTCTTAGCACTGCGTTCCGTCGTCCCCAACCGTGTTGTTTGGCAACTTGGCCGGAGCTGCGAGTTGCCATCGGAGTCGGTTGTTTCGTTGTCCTGAACGTGCCAGTGGAAATGATATCCATTCAAAGCGCAAAGGGTGCAACTGGTGGTGAATGAGCAAGGCACTGATTGAAGAAGAGTCGGTAGTGCTTGCGTTGCAGTGTTGCTTTGTCCAGTTAGACTCGTAGATCACATATATGATTCAGGACCACGTAGCAACTGTACAATATACCGACTTGGAGGACGTACGCCAGTACTGCGCCGCAGTACTGCGCCGCACACACAAACACCTGAGGATTGGACAGCATCCGAATCATTCGTGGACTCATTTGACGGCTCTTCGGGCTCTGCCTGGAGTCATTTCATGACCTCCAAAAACACTGATAGTTATTTGACTTCATCTTAAGGAATCATGGGCATCTGTCTTGATCGATCGATGATGCTCTTTTCCCACCCGTACCCATCGAAAAGAGTGAGGGAATACCAGTTTGATCAGCTCTTCTCTGATACACCAAATGTTCTGATACACCAAACAGCAGTCTTCCTTTTTAAGACCCAATTGACAAACCATCACTTCGTCATGTCAAAGACCCAAAACCCAACATCTTGGACACAGACTACTCTCAGAAGCTCTCCAAAGCACCTGGCTCCTAGTAGCGATGCCCTTTGCTCCTAGTAGCGAACATTGTTCCTAGTAGCGATGCCAGGAGCCCCTAGTAGCGTCCTTGCTGCTAGTAGCGATGCCAGGAGCCCCTAGTAGCGTCCTTGCTCCTAGTAG